TTTTTTTTTGCTTCTTTGACTCTCATAAATAAATTATCTGGGTAAAACCACATGTAGCTCTAATCAGCATGGCAGAGATAAACTGACACACATTTAATGCCTGCAGAAGTCAATAATAATAAATCCTAGCAGCATAGTCTTAGAAGGCCAGATTAGCCTAATCTGGGGCCCTTGGGGGTAAGAAAAAAAATGGATCCACATTTGCTGTGTTTTAATTTTATCGTTTAGCATGTAAGTAGGAAATTGAAATAGCACAAGTCATAAAACTGGATAAAGCAACAGTGCGTGCAGACTGGACACTAAAGCTGGACTGACAGTGCATCAAGACCCTCCTCAGGTCACATGCTGACTCAGGTAGCCAATCTGTGGTCTGCTTTGCACTTTGGACTAAATCATCAACTAATAAACTGTTGCTTTCTGTAGCACAAAGACATTGTACGTGTAATACGACGAAAACTAAATTGCATTTAATTATATGAATTACATTTCATTCAACAGTTTAAATCAGGGATGTCAAACTAGTTTTACAGCACATGCAGCCCACCGTGATCTTAACTTGGCCAGACCAGCAAATCTCTCATTTCTGTCAGTGTGAAGCAGCTTAACTACACATTTACAGTGAGAATCAGTTTTTCTACATAATGATGTTTTTATACAGCAGTAAGTGACAAGAAAAATCTGTCAGCACGACACTTGGCATCATTATCCAGACTGTCCTGTAATTATAAAACAGAAAGTTTTCGTTAACTCATGGAAAATATCTTTCTCCTTGCTACTGTAAATAAAGAAATTGCACTTGTAGACAGATAAACAATTAAATGACCCTGTTACTGTACTTAATTACTTTGTTGTGGTATGAATGGATAAAGGGGAGGTCTTTATCAGTGGGGAAAAGCTGTAAAACACATGAAATTAGTCCAAAATTTATGCCATCTACCACATTTCGCAAAACCCCCTAGTGGGAGAGATTGGAGTCTTTGCCAGACCAAAATGGCCCCCAGGCCTTATGTTTGATACCCCTGATTTAAATTAAAACAAATGGAGTCATGGAAGTAATTTTAATTTTAAAAAATTAACATCATACAAGTGAGACAAAATATTTATGAATGTAAAATGACAATTTAAAGCCACTCTAGGTTTTTATTCAGTTGTTTACATTTTTTTCTAGCAAATAGTTTTTGCCTGAAACGAAATGCAATGATCGGAGTGAGCTGCACTTTCAACCTATAGATAATCTCTCATTTTTTAATTTTGTTTATATTGTCTTTTTAATTATTTGAATTCATATTTAAAAAATAAAAACTGTGTGAATAGAGGCTAGAGACACATTGTGTTCCTGCAGCTAGAGTTTAGAGTTCAGCCTGGTATCAGACAACCTGAATCTGTAGCATTTGTTTGACAATAACACATTTTTTGAGGCTTGAGCATTAATCACACAACCCATAAATATTAATCACTTCATACTGTGTTTAGTGTGTATGTGGTACTTACATCAAAGCAGAGGGGGAGGGGGGGGGACGTAAATCTGCAGTCTGGTCTTCAGAAGGGAAGCTGTCCAGGTGACGAGTGAAGACTTTGTGCTTTCATCACAAATCATCCCTATTCATTTTTCATTCTTGCCTGGTTCTCTGCACCTCCTGCTGTTGCTGGTCTTCTGTCACCTTAACTTCACATCTTAAATCTTTTTTTTTTTGTTGTTAATGTTGTGCACACATCCTCTTCACTTTTTTTTATCTCACTATCCCTTCTCCTCTTGCTCCCTATCTCCCCTCACCTTCTTGATTTCTCCATCTTTTATACTCGTCTCTCGCCAAAGAAAGGCCACGCTTGTAAGGAGACTCTTTGGGATACATACGGCATCTATTCATTACTGAACATGTAAACACTCATAAACTGTACAACGTCTATCACACACACACACACACACTCCCTCTCAGCAGCAGCCACCCTGAGCTGAGGAGAGATGTCGGTAGGAAAGTCCAGCTGGTGGCGACACTCCACCTGTAATAATACAGCAGGGCAAGGCGTGATTGGAGGGTGGTGGGCTGCTGAGTGAGCAGCACAAGATGTGTGTGTGTGTGTGTGTGTGTGTGTTCCCTGGGCTCGTGAACCTGATG